GGCACTTGGTCCCTTTTCGTGTATAAATGAGGGAGCGTGGCCTTGCGGGGTTGGCTGTGACATGGGGGGGCAAGTGTTTGTCGAACCCGGGATGCGACTTGGTGGGCCAGAAGCCGTCCTTGTGTTGAGTCTAGGGTTCCTGGATGAGTAGGACATCGGTTCCTGAATCCCAGGGGGATTGCAGGATGATGTCTGTAGCGGGGTCTCCTCTGCCCAAATTAGCGCAAAGGAACAAGATCGTTGTTGCCGTTGTGTGTAGCTCGGTAAGGTTGTGGTCCCTTACGGGCATTGAGCAACGTTTGTAGTTTCGTTTTCAGCAGTCGCCTCAGCGGCTTTCTGCTTTGCTTCCAACTCTCGGATCGAAGCGTTTCTTTCTTTTTGACCTTGTTCCCGGATCACCGACAGCTGGTCTCTTGTGCGTTGCACAGTCTTTCCGCCGGCCCGCGTCGGCCTGGCCATGCAGCTAGGCTCGGTTGCGGCATGTGGCCCATGGCAATTGATGCACCTTGGGACGAGCTGTTTGCACTCAGTAGCCTTGTGCTCAATCGATCCACAGCGAGAGCAGCGCTCTGCTCGTGAACAGATCTTAGTTGGGTGGTGTCCCCAGCATTGGTTGCATTGCGCAATTTTGGCTTTACGCTGAAGTTCGTGTAAGCGACCGCTCTCTTCAAAAAGTCTTTCTCCCAGCTTTGGCTTGCCGGTTGCAAAATGCAACACCCAGTCGGTGGACGGCCTAGCCATGCTTGTTGCAAAGGCACGAGCCGAGGTCGGTCTAACGCCTGTCTTTAAGGTCGCTTCCTCCATTACCATCTCCGATGTTACTGGCGTTGGTCCTTCTAAAGTGAAGAGTCTGTCTGGTACATTAGGCGCCAACACTGAGATCCAGTTGGAAGCATCTTCCAGTTTCATTTCCGTGCTCTCCAGGAGTACGGCGCCTGAGAGGAGCGCGTTTCTTGCTCCGTCTCCTTCAGCTAGTATCGCAAACCCTGAGTTGACGATGTTAACCTGCTTAATTGCAGAGTTAGCTAAGCGCAGCTTGCTTGCGAGGCTCATTTTGATGTAATGAGGAGACATGAGTCTCCATGGGTGGTCGGGCTTGACCCGTAGGAAAACACGCTCGTCTGGGCGAGCTAACTTGGGAGCTGAGGCAGTAGGCCTTGGAGTTTGTGTGTGCCCTGTCGCTTTTGACTTAGGCTCGCTGGCTGGTTGCGATTTTGTCGCTGCTGGTGGCGCGGGCTTAGTCTTTTTCCTCACTACCTGAGTCCAAGACCCCTCAGTAACGATGGGGGTTTGTATAGAATCGATGTCGATTGGCCTAGTAGGCTTTGTCGAAGCCGGCTCTTTGCCTTTCGCCTGGCTGCTTTCTCTCGTGAGTATTTGCACTGGTCGTGAAGTGCTCGCGCTATTCTTTCTTCCCGGCCTAGTAGCCGACGCGGGGAGGGTTGTTGTCTTGCTACTACAGGCAGCCTCTGATGGCCCACAGGATTGTGGCTGGGGGTTTCCGTGCAGGATGTTTGTGATAATGGCCTGTAAAGCCTCTCCATTCTTTTCGACAGCTCGTCGGAGCTGTTTGTCGGTTATGGCCGCCAGTAGGTTAATGTACCCACTGACAATACGCTCAGCCTCTGCAAAGCGTATGTTAAACGCACTCGCTTCATCTGCAAGGAAGTTAGTCAAGGAAGCACCCATTGACTCGGGGGAGGTTGGGGGCGAGTATTGGCAGCTCGCCTTGCAGATCGGTTCTGCGTTTGCTTGTGTGTTGTTGTAGTGGTGGTTAGGTGGCCCTGTGAGGAACATTTCGACGTCAGGACGCGTCGAATTTACGGGTGGGAGGGGGGCCAAGAGCCAGCCTCTGCGGAGGACTGGGGCGGCATGGCAAGGAGCAAATCAGAGAAGGTTGAACAGTAGATAATCGCGTTTCTGGCGCGTGATTGAGGAGTGTTCTACGCTGCGGTGTTTTGTGGCGGACAGCTGGTCAGACTCTTTTGTAATTTTTAGGTGCTGTAGTGTGCGCTAGAGCGTCGGGTAGTTCTGTAGGGACTGGGCCATCCATTACGTGACAGTAGTCACGAGCTGTAGATGGGCACGACGTTAAATTCAATCAAAATCAAAATCATGATGATGCTTCCGACAACATTCACAATGCCCATAAATACTCTGGGCTAATCACCTCTTACTATATCGGTCCTATCTTCTAATTAATGCCCTTTTCGCCCTTTTATCTTTAATGACAGGTCATGATATTCTTTGTCTTGCTGGCCATCATCAAGCTCAGTGTTATGGACAGACTAAAACTTTAACAAAGCCTTCCAAATTTAATAGTATGTATGTATGAATTTCGTATCATGTTGAAATGTATAACCCACTACTTAGTTTGTGGACTTATTGGTAGAGGGAAGCTTATGCAATAATGAAGGATAAAAGGATGTCAATTCGACTACTCTTCTAAACACAAGTAGCAGACTCCTTTTAATCCCAACAGATAGCCCGTGCGGGATCTCCTATTAACAGCAGTAAACAACGCTAGCACAGGGTATACGCAATCTCCATTTGCCAAACACCAGTCGGTCGGGATTACTAATTATCGAGCCTAGTAGGATCTACAAAGTGTATCCCAACACAGAAATAATAGAAAACTCAACAACCAAACCCTTCATCAATTACTTCCACTAACCATCACCTGAATTATCTCTGTACTCCATAATTTCAACATATCAGGCAATAGCCCTACACCCAAGAGGCATGATATATAAGGAAATGGTTCAACTGTCCTTTGTAGCTATTGATGGTGACATGAATTAAGATGATGATTGTGATTGAGATCGATTTCTATATAGTTTATTATACATGATATGCTCAGGTTCATATACCTCGAGCCAAGCAACCAGATCATGTTTCTCTAGATCAAGATTCATCAGAATAATTACTTACTCAGTAAAATTCTCATAGTCTCAGTTGTGTGTTTAGGATCTTGATTAGGTTTTTAGTAACTAGTCAATGATGTTTCTCATATCACTGAGACATAGTCATGGTTGATACAACAGGTACAAACGATGAATCGTGCCTGTACATGACGTTGTGATATAGTCATGATCGTCTGAACAATATCAACTCATGAATGAATCATGTCTCTACATGACATGATACGGGTGTGTGATACCTAAAGACTCATTACTACCTATCTGTCCAGCTTTCTGGGCAGATTGATTACATGTAAAGAAGAAATAAAGAAAATGGTCCAGACAAAAAACGCCCTGCGCCTTGCCCATTTTCATATTCAACTGCCAAAGATATTCCAGTCCCTCGGGAAGGTTTGGCCCTCTCAATGTGAGAATTACCCTGCGTAGCATCCCTTTACGGTTTTGTACTTATAGAATTTCCCTCATCCGTTTTCTGCCAACATAACTCGATTTCTTGGTGGTTCATGTCTGGATATTCTCCATTGTCGCAAAGCCGTTCGATACAAGATTATGCTTGCTATGTAAATAGACTTTAGCTTAGTTTACCACCAGAGATCACAGGACACTGAACCTCTAACAGTCGAGAACAAAGCCTGACGAGGTGTGTCAACCATAGAAATCAATGTTTTCCATTACCTTCGCCCAAAATTCGAAGCGTTGATGAATTCAAGCCTGTCCAAGGCTTACAATGAAAGAAACTGACACTATTTACGGCCTTCATCTGTTTCGGGAGACAATTTCCCGCTACACTCATCTCGCAAACTACCGAAGCAACAAAATAATTAAAAATTGGAAAAGGTCATAGGAGATATCAGATGATGACAAACTTCCGAAGATCCCAGAACTCCATCTTCAAATGAAGTTACGATCAAAGTTGTTACGGGCTGTGCCCGGATTGGGACTGGTCACTAGGACCAGCCCGGCTAGATCTTTAAGCGCCAACGAAGCAGCGCTTACAGAGACGCGAAAGGTTGCATGGGGAAGAATGCAAGGATACGCACAAAGAGGGATCTAAGTGTCGCATAAGGATTAATGCAAGGTTGCGCACAAGAACGAGTCTCAGTGTTGCATAAGGATAATTGCAAGGTTGCGCATGAGGAAGGACCCAAGGGAGTACGTACTAAGGGGGGGAGGATGTCACAGGAAAGAGGGTAGCCGCGGAGAATGGAGTATTCTCAGGTAGGCTAGGAGGGGAGCTTAAACGCGACGCTGAGGAGGACATAAAGGACAGGAGCCGTCATAGGCAGATTAGCTTCCCAAGGAAAAATTATCAATTCCTATTGAGTTAACGTCTTTCAAGTACTTCTGAATTCTTTAAACCCTTTACAAAAGTATCGCCTTCAATAGCGTCTTCAACTCAATATCAAGGGCACTGTGTATTAGACGAACGGCGAAGTACTATGAAGGATAGAGAGACAAAATTTCGCCACTTCTTTGACAGGAGCATTTGATAAGTGTCGGGCTATCGATGCCTCGATCTTGCGGTCCCATACTCATATTTGGCTTCCACAGCTAGGGATATAATAGCAACAGTGGCAAGGCTGGATATATTCATTATTTTCAACAATTCTGAGATAAGAGGATTAACCAAAGGGTGAATTAGAAGCCGTAATAGAGGAATTGAACAGAAAATAAACCGAAGAGGCCTCGAGGGGCGATAGTGTGAGAACTCTGGTGAAGCAAATGAACAGTGAATGAGGTGAGGAGATGCTGGAACGAAGCATGACTTGGACTGAACAGAAAGGATAACGTAGAGATTTGGAAATAGTCAAGGGCATGGGAGTATGGTAACCGAGTTGGAAAATTATACGTTCTAGCACGCACAGGTCTAGACTTCTGGACGGTTGGGTTTGGCATGTTTTAGCGCACAAGTAAAGATTGGGGGGGATGATGTTCATATAATATACAGTAGTCAAGTTGATTCAAGCTGGACTAATTCAGGCTGAAGCGTCTGTCGGAGTGCAGAGGGTTCTTCGTGTCTAGTTGATAAATTTGCAAGTAGATTCTTCGCAGAGCATGCCAAGTGTAATGAAAGAAGCGCTACGAATGGACACTGCATATCTCGTACGTCGGTTCTTCGCTGCTCTTACCCTTCGGCGTTATCTTTATCTTCCACAACATCAGAGCGCATGTCCGTCCAGAATCGTCCAGTAGAAGATGATACTCGTGTCGAAGATCGTAAGAATTTTTTGGATAAACTAAATTTTTCAATTAACCGTGACGCCTCGCTGTTGGTAGAGACTGAAAATTACCTTTCGTTAGACTGGGAAGCAAAAATAAATAGTGCCCTTTTGCGTCACTATTATCATACATCATAAAATTTTCTGGCTTTTCAGACACAAAAATATCCTGAAGCATTTCCACATCAAAGGGAGTATTGTGGCTATGTTTAAGAACTTTTAGCGCTCGAATTTTATCATCTCTATAATTGGCTTCCGAGAAGAAATCTCCGTGGCAAATGAATCCTTTACTTCCCTCCTCTATGTGGGCCGTTTTGTAACTGAAAGCTGCGGATAGAAATCTGGCGGCGTATATGATTGTTGCCAGTTTGGAAAAGCGCATGATGATTAATTAGTTGGACCCAAGTGAGGTCTGTAGGGTGATGCAGAAGGATAATCTCTATCACCGGAAACATGGCCGGTATCTACCTATTTATCTGGCTCTACCATCCTTATGGATTTCTATGCCAATAAATCTGAGCAGATCCTAGATCTAGATTTGTGGGGACTCTTCGTCTTTAATTTATCTACCTTTACTCTGGATGCCTGAACAAATGTAATGGTAGTGCCGAGTAGCTGTAAAGAATATTGTAGTAAATTTTCATGACAGTGTTGCAATAAAAGATTAACATCAGAACGATGCGCCTGTGCAACATGAATTTTGCTTCACGCGCATCTTGACTCATTGGTATTTTGAAGTAATTCCCGGATGGTGCCGAGAGACAACTATAGCTACAGGTGCTCTGATCATCTTCCTTCCTCGCTTAGGGAGGGGGACTATTGTCAACACCTGACAATGGTGTCCACTTCGAATTTTCAGCGCTCACTGTAGAGTTTGCAGAGCCAAGATTGAGTAATAATATCCCCGCTTCGATGAGGATTCCCAATCGCTTTTGCCGCATGTATCGTCTTCATCTCTCAACACATTCCCCTATCACCATTATCATAAAGCTAACTGCGATCATATCAGATGGTAGGGTCGAAGCCCTACTCATCACCAACCCTTGATCATGGAGGAGAAGCCATCCGATGAGTTTCCGGAGCGTACTCAGCACCGGATACGGCGATGGTGGATTGGATCAAGTCGGCCTCGACTGTTACAAAGAATGGAGATACAGATGAATAAGCGCACCTCATGTGGACCCGGTGTCTAGGTTTAGCTTGGCTGGGGCTGCAGCTTTTTTGAGACTTTTACCTGCGCACGCAGTCTCAATTACTACCATATTACCATAGTTTCAGGGTAGAAAATTGGGTGGAAATGGTGGCTGAATACCATGGGTGAACACTAACCTGAATAAATGTTCATCACGGGCAGTATATCAATGATGTTTCAAGAAACATGAGACGCCAGGAGCACTGTACAAGGTGTGTCGTGGACCAGAGAGGATCCCAATGTGCTACATAGTCTAAAATTCAAGTAAAACAATTAAAAAACATCACTCACACTCTCTCTCTCGCTTAGGCTAGGAAATGTGCAGAAACGTAGCCATCTATGTATGCGAAGCGGCCTCACCCGACATTTACTAAATAGGCACTCCACAGTCGGGAATCTACATAATTTCCAGATAATTACCACACTTGAGAATAGTCGTGTTCATCCTCAAGAGTGGTCACTGCACAGAGCCCTAAAGGTAGAAGTTACAAATTATACTTCCCCTGGGCCGTAGTAGCTCCCATTTATATCTTCATCCTAACGGCTCGCCGTTCCAGCTTAGAATAGCCTTACCATTGTAGATGTGAAGGGTTTCCCCATCTCTATGCCCTTATATTCTCAAGGAATGACCTGGTTCAGATAAAATATGGCTCATCCCCCATTTCCAGTTCCCTCGGCCCTTCTTAATTCCCATACCAGTATTCTCCGAGTGGTTGACTAGCTCTGATCACAGTTGTCCAGCTTCGTCACTGAAGTATGGGTTGAAGGGCTTATGGTTGATTGCTGCCATGCTCATTCGATGCATTCGCTTTGGTGCAAGGGCGTTGCCAGTCGTGAACTAGTCAAAATTATTTCAGAAGCCCCGTCGTGCTGGTGTATTTCTCTGGTGATGCCATCTAGCTGGTTGTTGCGTTGCGCTCGGCATCAGCCGATGAGGCATGGTATCATAGAATTACACTTAATCCTGCCCATTAGTCATCTTATCCAGAGATTATCCTACTAACGCTGGCCAGGCTGTGACTTGAGATGTAGCGGATTTCTACGACATGGCATGGACCCTACAACTTTCGGGCGTGACTCGTGTAGCCGGATTCAAAATTTTCAGTACAACCGAGACGATAAGCATGAGAATAAGGCGAAATAAAAATGGGATAATTTCGAATTGAAGTCTGATTAATTGATACATGACTTGGGTACGTGCTGCGACATACTGCTACTAGCATTGCTAGTCTCTACTAATCAGGACAGTCACATAATTTAGATTCAACGTGCCTCTTTGAGTCCTCCTCAAGTCATATGTGCAAAGCCACCAGACTCATGGCACTGGTATTCTTGCATCTTGCATCCGGTGGGAAATATTTTCCTATCGACCTTCTTCAGTCAGAGAGTCTATTTGACTTGTAGCTTCTCTTAGCTTGCAGGCAGAAAATCCTAGTGCCTCCTGCATAGCTCTCAAATACTACCAGCCCCACAGGTCTTCACTTGACTTCACACTTATAACCTTTAAACCGTCATCGTCTCCCCTTTCCAGCTTAAAAAAAGATTGTTTGCTGGTTTGCGGCTGCAGGGAAAAGTCTCAAAGACCGTTGGGCGCGGAGCTCTCATACTACCTATAGCTAGACTAAACCCAAAAATACAAATCTAAAAAACTTTAAGTATTTCTAGGGGAAATATCTGGAAGAAAAAGTGTACAATGTCGGTCGATCTTCTGTTGATAGATGTACAGAGCTAAAAATACTTCCCTCAGTCTGGATTGATATTACATAATATTCCACTTCTTCAGCTAAGTAATCGAGATGAGAGGGAGTGGCAGGAAGGCAACTCTGATGTAGATATGTAAGAAGTAGACTAGCTGCGAGGGGGCAGTTTGTATTTTGTTCGTTAACGTGCTAGGCAAAGTGAGATCCTTCGCACTCCTACTGGATCTTAAGCACGAACGGGCTTTGGCCGGGTTAGGTTAATTGCCGTAGAGTACAAATGCCTCGTTCCACCTAAATGACAGGAACCATGCCGAAATGTATCTCTACTTTTTAATCAGATGATTCCAGTAGCCCGTAATCGAAATAAAATAAAGCTATTCCAGAGGAAATCCCGCATTACAAGGGGAAAAAGTTGTCGAATGGAGATTGTATAGAGATGTTTAAGCTGCTTGACTTATATTTGACATCACCTAGTGAATCGAGTTGGGAGATTGAAGAGTCCGGAAACTATCGTGGAGAGTTGTTATTTAAACCCACTCAATATCAGAGCGTTATTTAAACTAACTACTGCATCTAAGAGAAGGACACAATTCACTTGTTCATGCTAAATAATTGGGAGGCTGGTCAATGTATGAGTAGTCATGAATGTGGCTAGTAATAATAGAACCTTATTACGCTCCATATTAATGCAACTCTTCATTGCCAAGTAGCGCCAATTTCAACAAAAGGAACATTTACTGTGAGGAGGAAGTCACTGGAGAAAAGCAAAGTGTCACGGATCGGAGGACAGGTGCTGGAGCAACTATGTGGTTGATGGTAGTAGATAATAATTCTAAGGAGAGGACTACTACAAGATCTATCTACACATGTATATATACAAAAGAGCCTCATGTTCTATGACGTCATTGCACTATCAATTGAGGAGGTTGTGTCCGATCTCGTATATTCCCAGCTGATTGCTTCTCACCGACAAGTGGTGCCATGTTGAGCTGCACTGTTGAATCGGATGCTATGCAGATTCCGATGCTCCGATATTAGATCGATCGATCGTGCGCACCCTTAATCGGACCAAGCCTATGTTAGCCAACAAAGGCTACAGGAACCAGCCGTCACACATGGGCTATTTGCTGATTTGCACACCCAACATGTACGCATGTCATCTTTCCCCGAGACAAGCTGGATAGAAGCATCAAAAATAGTACGTATAGATTAGTCTATTATGAAATACACACTCCCAATGCTTTGGCGTTGCAGGAACAACCAGCCAATGGATTGTGGAAACATGTCAATCTAATATTGCCCAAGCAAGCTTACTCGTATACAATCGAATCAGTGGAGCTGATCTTGATCATACCGAGAAATCTAGATCTTCATACACACTGAGTCCACATTTCCAACACATAGCTGCACTTTTGGAGCGTTCGGAAGGTCAGCCAGCCAAGTGCAGCAGACCTGTGTATACCTGTTGTGATGAGTATGTTATTGTCACAGACCAGTTTGTGATATTGTATTGCACCTGGCCAACCGCCCCATGAATACACTCAGGAATAGAGTTAGTGCGTTGCGATGGTTACAGTGTTGTGATAGCAACAGTCACTAGTCAAGATACTGATCAGTTGCTATGTAACAGCTGTGGACTATTGCACCCTTGATTGTAGTGACCGGTCTCAGGTACTTAAGGAAGCTCTTGGAATGATTTTGTACTGTGGCTTTTTGTCTTGTATTTTATCTACATCTTAGAATCTCGCTTCTGTCCTAAGTCCTAGTCTTCGTCTCTGTCCTAGTCTCTGTCCTCGTCTACATCTCGTCCTCGTCTCAGTCTCCGCCCCAATCCCTCTCCTTATAAGTCTCCTTTCCTCCGACCCCTGATAGTTATACAGCTAGGATACTTGCATGTACATAACGTAATTAGATGTTTAAGCTGTTTGTGTGGTTCTTGTATTGTTTGGGATATCGACAGGAGTAAGCTCATGTGGTCAGGAGCCGACTAGCAGCCGCACATGGGTATAAGTAGCGAGTACTCAGCACACTATTAGTATAGAACAATCAAGTACAGTGAACCTCAGTGTGACAGCTTGTGAGCCGATCAGTCCTGTAGCCTTCGATGGCTATCGAAGGCAACCTATATTATCTATCACTCCGAGAATTATCAGCAGACGAAAATGATATGAGATCGCCACTGAGGCTATGTAAAGGATAGTGCCAAGAGTATTGGAAGCGTTATCCGTGTGGCAGAACAAACCTTACGTCAGTTTCATTGCCACTGTAAACGTAGGCTAGATTTAGATACCTCTGGATGTGTATAAGTAGTAGAGGAGACTTGTAGGTAGTTTGCTTCTACATAGATGAATTATAGCTTTAACTTTCAATTATACAAATGCCCAGTGGCTTTCTATATTCGAACTGTGACACTCAGATACACCTTCAACCACAACCTGAACTCATCAATCTACATACTTGTACAAGGTCAGGATGTATAGTGATACTAAC